CACTCCTGATGGAAAGAAACCTGCAAGGTCTTTCTGTTGGTTCTTCTCAGATAGCTAGATGGTTTATGTGGAAGAGATGGTCTCACAAATACACAGATCCTATCCGTGCCATAGAATAAGGCACTAACAATGCACTGAATTGCATCTGGAAGCCAACTGGCAAACTCTCAGAGGTGGAATTATGAGGCAAAACCAGGATTGAATTATTGCCATGCAGACAGCTGTGAATGGCCTTCACAATCAGCCCATGCAAAGTCATTTTCAGTAGCCTGGTTGTGAGGTGATAAGCATATGAATAAACATAAATAAAGCCTCCTGTTCCAGGAAACACCTGAAACATTAGCCAAAATCAGACTAAAGCCATGATGACAAAACTATGGCATACGTGTCAGAGGTGACACACAGAGCCTTCTCTGTGGGCACGCCCACCATGGCCAGCCGCTCTTCTAGTTTCCAGCATGCACATGCGTGCTTGCCAGCTGGTCTTCCCGTGAGCTGGAGGACCAGAAAACACCCTCAAAAACAGCCAAAAGACAGGCATGCACACACCAGCCAGTTGGCCTTCACGTTTCTGGTGCTCTGGCATGCATGAAGATCCTCTGGCCGGTGTGCATGCGCGTGCCAGAAACCTGAAGACCAGCTGGCTGGTGTGCACATGTGCACCAGCCAGCTGGTCTTCAGGTTTCTGGCACTGCGACATGCACATGCATGCATGTTCCGGTTTGGGCACTTGGTGCCAAAAAGGTTCACCATTACTGGAGTAAAGCTTTCCTGACCATCTACCAAGAGAGAGATATGTCCAGGGGATTGCCAGGGAGTGCATCATCTTCATGGAGAGACAATTTTTTCTTGGATTTTTTCTAGAGTCGAAGGACTTCAGAATCAACAGAATCAACTGTAACCTTGCTATGATTAATACCAAGCCCAAATGGTAACCATTCAGGCAACATTCTAAACTACAAAAAAGCACTAACCAAGGTGAAAACTAATCAAACTTAGTATATTGTCCAAATAAAGCTGTTAGGGTTGTAAGTAACCTGGGCGAGCTTGTCCTGTGAATCACAAAACCTGATCCTATGGCCTGCAGAATAGTCAGACAGGGGTTATTTGAAACTTTGTTCTAGAATGTAGGTCCCCTAATGTATTTGCAACCAACTGATTGATTGACTAAATGTTGAGAAATAGATTGATTGACTAAATGTTGAGAAACCTTCTGTGCTAGAAAGCATACAGGCAAAAGCAGCAAAGATTTATCATCTTGTCTATACTCTTTCTATCATCTCAACAGATCTAGAGGCTAAATCATAGGGTGAATGATAGAGGGAACTAGATATGTCCAGCCTAAGGCAGAGAAGGACTAGGGGTGACATAGAATAGAATTCTTTATTGGCCAAATGTGATTGGACACACAAGGAATTTGTCTTTGGTGCAGATGCTCTCAGGGGACATAAAAAGATACATTCGACAAGAATAAGAAGATACAGCACTTAATGAAAGTCATGGGGTACAAATAAGCAATCAGGAAACAATCAATATCAATAAAAAATCATAAGGATACAAGCAACAAAGTTACAGTCCTACAGTCATAGGTGGGAGGATAGGATAGGATGAGAAGGCTAACAGTGATAGTTGTCTTCCAATATTTGAGGGCCTGTTAAAAACAAAAGAGGTTTGACCTATTCTCCAAAGCACCTGAGGTCAGGACAAGAAAGAATGGGATGAAGGTCATTAAAGAAAGATTCAACCTATAATCAAGGAGAAATTTCATGTCAGAGGAATGGCTTTCCTCCAGAAGTGGTGGGTACTCCCATCACCGGAGGTTTTCAAGAGACTGGACAGCCATTTGGGGTTGGACTAAAAGATCTCCAAGGTCCCTTCCAACCCTATTGTGGTATGATTTTTATTCTAAATATCCTGGCGACTTATATACCTATAGTATTTCTATTTCACTGAAGTGGTCAGAGTCTAGCCAAACCAAACCATAAATCACAAACAGAATGTCAGGCCTGCAGCCATCTTTTCTTGTGGATCTCAGGCCTGTCACCCTTTCTATTATTCTACTATGCATTTTCTAATGTGAGGAAATGGGAGGGGGGGTTGTATGGAGTTAGATGATGTGTAGCCATAACAAAATTATTTCTAGAAAGCCAAGGCTTTGCACCTCTGCATCTGGAACTGGATGGGTGGAACTGCCAGCATGGCAGTGGAAGATTAGACCATGTGATGGATTTGTGGGTGTGGGGGCAAGATCTTGAACTTTCATCTGGGTGGGAAAACCAAGAAACTTTCCGATTTGCGTTTCCCCAGATGGGCCAACATGGCTCTCTTAATAAATTGGAACTTTGAGGAATCCTTTGCCTCGGACTGATTTAATTTTGGATGCTATTTGGAACCCTGACACAAAAACCAACTGCATACAAGTATTTCATCAGATCAGGAGTGAAAACATTTTAAAAAAGGTTATATGGAAGCCTGCAGAGACCTTCAGCGCTGGTCCCTGGGTTTGGGAAGCCCAGGGGTGAGATGTTTCTATGGGTCCCGCTCCCAAGGGCAGCCATTCCCCCAGCTTGCCAGTGTTTCTGTCACAGTATTTGCTTTTCTCTCCTTCTGGGTTTAATCTGCTCAGCCTCCCAGAGGTAAAAACATGTGGTGGTGACTACTCATCCTTGCTTCATTGTTTGCTTGCAAACAGAAGACTTCTGGAGTTGTCCCTTATTGGGACACGGGCTTTGCAGATACCCAATAACACCATCTGTGGGTGTTAATCCTAAAGCAGACATAACTGCCCAGGACAACTGTTCAGATTCAATCTTTGATGGCTGTCCAAAGAGAAAAGGAGGAGGGGAGGAAAATCAGTATTTCTGCTTCACTCAAAAGGGCTTACTTTCAGTGGGGAACGCAGAGGAGTGGAACCCTTTGCAGCTATCCAAAGGCCAGGGGTAAGCAGGAAAGAAACAAACCAGGATCAGCATGGATCTCCCTGGATGTATTGTAGGACAAGTCCTATCCTTTCCTGGCTGTGAGATGATTCCCCTGGACTGCCT